GGGGTGTCATGTGACAGGACTAACTGTCTGTCTGTCTGTCTGAGGGGGGGGGGGGCATCATGTGACAGGACTAACTGTCTGTCTGTCTGCAGGACGACCGAGATAAGATCGCCACACATGAGGTAAGTGAAGCGCTCTCCTGGTGATGTCATCAAGGTTATCTTAACTTTGACGTCTGACAGAAAAAGAAGAAGTAAAAACTGGAGGTGTGTTGTGTTCCAGTTGCATCATGGGAAATGTAGGCTGCAATGCAATCTGCACCTTTTTGTTAAATAGAGTGCAAACCTAAATCACTGGAGTGCATTTGTTTTATTCTTATTATTCATTTTGAGTAATTAGTAATTGTATCAAAGCTATAAAATAATAAATCATTTCTTTCTTTTAAAACCAGCTGAGATCTGATGATGTTTGTGTTTTACAGGAAACACTGGTGACCACTTTGAAGGATGATCTCAGGTACAGACACACACACACACACACACACAGAGTGATGTGTTTAAGGTGGAGCCAGGTAGTCAGTTCTGTCAGTTAGTGGACTAACTAGTTAGTGGGTTAGGGTTAGTTAGTTAGTGGACTAACTAGTTAGTGACACTTTATTTTAACACGCTGTTTGTCTCTTTTGCAGCCGGTGTAGGGTTAGTTAGTTACATTTAACTAGTTGTGTATCTGTCCTCCAGTTTTTGGTCTGACTGGGTTGGTGAGCCGTTTAATCAGTAAACTAGTTCCAGCTGGTGGTTTAACTGGTTTATTCATTAGTTGGTTGATTAAATGGCTCATATAGCTGAAGTCAGTAGTCAAACTAGTTTTTAGTTTATAATGTTCTCTTACAGCAGGTGGTTTAACTGGTTATTTATATATTTAACTAGCTGTCATTCTCTTACAGTTGGTTAGTTACATATTTAACTAGCTGTCCTTCTCTTACAGCTGGTTAGTTATATATTTAACTAGCTGTCCTTCTCTTACAGTTGGTTAGTTATATATTTAACTAGCTGTCCTTCTCTTACAGTTGGTTAGTTATATATTTAACTGGCTGTCCTCTTACAGTTGGTTAATTATATATTTAACTAGCTGTCCTTCTCTTACAGTTGGTTAGTTATATATTTAACTGGCTGTCCTCTTACAGTTGGTTAATTATGTATTTAACTAGCTGTCCTTCTCTTACAGTTGGTTAGTTATGTATTTAACTAGCTGTCCTTCTCTTACAGTTGGTTAGTTATGTATTTAACTAGCTGCCCTTCTCTTACAGTTGGTGGACTAACTGGTTGATCCCCCTGTTGGCGGCGGCCATCGTCACGCTGATGTACCGCATCTACACCACAGACAGCGAGTGACATCATCAGACACGCAGCTGTGATGTCATCAATAGAAAGCTGCATAAGCCAATGGCAGCGGAGTCACCAACCACCATCAGATCAGTGGATTAAAAAAACACATCTGTCCTAAAGTCACTGGCTCCCAGTACTACACTACCCAGGATGCATTTCATGCTGTTAAAACCAACCAATTACATGGAATTATGCTAATGAAGTCATTTACGTTCTTGACACTTTAACTACGGATGTTTTGTAGAAATCATGTAGAAATGCAATGAATGTATAATTTGTATCTTTTTATATATTTGTAACCGAATGTAAATGAGCTCATGAATATGCAATCAGCAGCTAACGGAGTCATGTGACCGTGCAGACTCGTGCAGAATATAACGTGTGTTTATATATATATATATATATATAAAAAATAAATAAATAACACGATTACATCTTGAAGAAGATGTCTGTAACAAAGATCTCTTGTGATGAATCTAAAGGTGCTTTCTGGATTCACACTTTGAAATTTTATAGAAAATCTCCAAATTACTGCTTTTCATAGTTGTTTTAAGCTTTGATTAGTTTGAGGCTCAACTTTCTCGAACTCTCGTCAGTTTATTTTTCCTTCCTTTTGATAACGACGACCTGAAACTGATCACTTCTCTTGCAACTAGTGAAGTTGATGTTATGATTATGAATACAATATAAACTAAATCAAACGATGCAGGCGTGTGTGATATGAAATGCACAATGATTGTTGATGAAGTTCACTGAATATTTCCATCTTCACACTGAAACAAAAGGAACAGATTTCTCTTTGTTCTCCAGGTTTGATGTTTGTCCTTTGATCAGATGAAATCTCTTCATGTTTCTCAGTGATGAAGACAAACAGCTGGTTCAACAATCATCATCAGTCTGATTGCTTCATTGTAAATTACATTTTGGGAAAACTGCACCAACATGATCTTCACATGATGCAGAGCGTCCACGTGTCGGAGTTAAAGCCGCACATTTATATGAAAAATCAGTAAATCACCGCAAGCAGAAGCGGTTCTATAGAACAAGAGAACTTCACAATCTGAGAGGTTTCTCTTTTGTGCACAGTTCACCTTTTAGCTAAATGTTTGAAAGCATTAAAGACTTTAAATGCACAGAAGGAACCTTTGGTCTGGATCCTCACCATGAGAACAGAATGAATTCAGCTGCAGGATTATTATAAAAAGTCTTCGTTTGGGAACTCAAGTCTGAATAAAAAGGACTCGGAACCGGTTTGACTTTGGGTCCTGATTGTCATCAGCTTCATCAGATCCTGTGAAGTGCATAAAGGCGTCTGCTAAACGACTGTAATATAATGTAACTGACACAGATTTTGATTTGTCTTCATCGAGAAAATCAGCATCAAGAGACGAGATGGAAAAAAAGTTCATGTCGATCAAAAGAGTCAAGTTTGTTTTGAGAAGTCATAAAGAAATTATAAATAAGAAAAATCTTAGAAATTAGACACATTTAATAGAAAATATAATAATAGTAAATTGACCTTTATTTTGAAATCTCATGTATGACGTCACAGTGCTGCAGCGCCACCTGCTGGAGAAGAAGCTCATCCGGTTCCACTCAGTGAGGAACTGAAATAAAGATGTTTAATAAAGAGATGGAGTAAAGTCACAACAAACCTAATTCATTCACTAAGAACAGCTGTTATTAGTTTAATCTGGTCTGTTTTTATGTTAATATTTAATATTGTGATTCTTGATTAATGACAGAATGAAGTAATGAAGTGCTGCCATCTAGTGGTGAAAGGTCTTCACTAGTCATTTATAAACCGCTTCTGAGGGAAAAACATGAACTAATTATTGATCTTCTGTGTTTTATCGTCTTCATAATTCATGTGAAGTGTTTTTAAAAACTTAGAAACATGAACTTGTGTTTTAATATTTGTGGTTTGGAGCGTTGAACGACTTGAACTGTGACTGCAGTTTTAAAAGATGTGAAACGTGTTCTGGTTTTATTATCCAACCTCAGAGCTCTCAGCATCTCGCTGATGAGATAAAAGTACTAGTACCATGCTGTAAAAGTACTCTGTTCCAGTAAAAGTACTAATACCACGCTGTAAAAGTACTAGTACCACTGTGTAAAAGTACTGTTACAGTAAAAGTACTAGTACTTTTACAGCGTGGTATTAGTACTTTTACTGTAACAGA